GGTGCAATAACTTGGTCCTTCCCGCCATACCATTCTGCTCCCTAACTGCGACTTTTGTGTGATCGGCTCCCAATCCCTTTTCCCCAAGACCCGTATTACCCTTCTCCACAGGATGAAATGTGCATGGATCCGATGGAATGATAAAACCCATATACTCATCATTTGCGCTACTACCACTACCGCCATCCCTCCACATATGATTCCCGGTAGCTCCCAACAAGGAACCAGTTTTGGCGTTTGGGTCCGACTGTTGGCAAATGAGGGCTATAACTTGGTCCTTCCACGCCATGCCATTATGCTTCCTAGACGTGACTTTCGTGTGATCCCTTCCCAGGTTTTGAAACCTTCCGCTATCCTTCTCCACTGAATGAAACGTGTATGGATCCGATGGAATGATGAAGCCCATGTACTCATCATTTGCGCTACTATCGCTACCGTCATTTTTGATCATATGGTTCTCGGTAGCTCCCAACAATGAACCAGTTTTGGTGTTTAGGTCATTGGCCTTTGGATCCGACTGTTGGCAAATGAGGGCTATAACTTGGTCCTTCTGCGCTATGCCATTATGCTCCCTAACCGCGATTTTTGTGCAATCCGTTTCCAAGTTTTGAAACCTTCGGCTACCCTTCTCCACAGGATGAAACGTGTATGGATCCGACGGAATGATAAAGCCCATGTACTCATCACCTGCACCGCTTCCACCCCCGCTGCCCTTGCTCACAGGTCTCTCTGCAACTCTCTGCGATCCCCCATCCGGAGGTGCAGAATTTGCAACTGTGGGATCGGGCATCCTGATCCCCGCCAACCCAGGAGCACCCGATCCACCCGCCGTATTCATATGATCACCTTGATCCGCGTTTTTTCTTTCAGATATCCCTTCTCCCTGTAAGCATGGTTGAGAGTGGGCATGACTACAAGATGGTAAATGCCCAGGATTGGGAATGTGTCGGCTATTCGGAGGCTGAATCTGGTGATAGAGCTCGAGCTTTCTTCTTGTCCAAGCACATCTTGACCCAAGAAGTATTGGCTTGGTGTCGGTTGGTGACATTCTTGATAATGAGAGGTTGTTGGAGGTTTTCTCAGCGCGCCGCTGGCTGTTGAGTTCATTCCACTTCCGGACCCCAGCGTAAGGATCGTTTTGGCCAGAGGGGGTCCCCACTCCGCCTGAAACATATCTTGGGCTTCGGTTCCAGGAGGTTTTCCAATGCCCCTCAAACACTCTGGGTTGTGGGTTTTTAGTGCCAGGAAGCGTGCAGCTCCTTGTGCGCTGGGCGAATTTAATCTGTGGGAGTGATTTCTGGTATGAGGACTTTGTTTGGGCTAGATGCTTAAAGTCTTCTGAAAGCTAGTTAGTGATAATATTCAGTGTGTTTGGAAAGTCTCATGCTGTGGGTATTCTAGGAAGGGCACCTCGCCCCTCCAGTCTTATATGGGGGGGAAATTGGTATTTAGAGAGTAAGCAGAAAAATCACCTTGAACAGATCCGTGACTTTTCCCCTGGGGACCTTCAAAGCTTGATTGGGGCCCGCTGTCAATGGAACAATTGAACTCCTGAGAAAACTTTAATTCATAAGTTCCAGTAGTGGGAAAAAATCTGGGGGTGAGGTACCGGCTGCACTGAAGATGGACCATATCCTCTCTGTGATTGTTTGTAATTATTAGACATAGTTTATATCGCTCTTCAGGAAGTCAGCCCTCTTTCATCCTTTAAACTCCATACTTAAGTTTAGAGAAATAATTGAATGCCGATGTTGGTTGGGGCTTGGAGACTTACAATCCTGGAGTAGTTTTTCTAATGGTTAACTTTTAACACCTAAACTACCCAGACCACCAATTTTTGAAGAGATACCTGTTCTAAATTTTTAGTAACGATCCCGAGTGAGGTGAAGAGGGGCAAAGCATCACATACAGTACAGGCGGAAATCGGGAGGGATATAGAGAGGGTGTGATGAAGCTTCAAGAGTTTGGAGGAAAGTATACTAAGTAGGAGAGAGAACATGGAAGAGAGGAGAATGGAGAGAGATTGGCAAGAGATATGATATAGGTCTAAGTCGGCAGCATCAAAACGGCAGGGACAAACGAGGGTTCCCGCCCTGGCCTTGAGCTATGGTATGGTATCATACCCAAAGAAATGTGTGATATGAGGGTGAAGGGTTTGCTATACCAATTTTCTCATTTATACTACCGTGTGACACCACAAATGAGACGACAGTAATATCTAGTTCAGCAACAAATCCTTACCTGCCGGAAAACAAGGGTAAACCCCTGATGTCAAGATGTAAAAGGAGTCCCACTTGTTCAGGCGTAGCCCTTTTTTCCCCTTTCTTTATGACAGCTTTCTTGCTGTCTTCCCCCTTCACTCCTACTATCATACCTACCTTCCTCATCAACCGCTTCAACTAATTTTTCTCGAACAAAACTCAAGGTTAGTGAACTCACTAATCTCTAAGCTCTATTATCATTCTCCCTGTTTAACATTATTGTGCTCAGCAGTAGCAATATTTGCCCTGACTCCAACGAAGTCTTCGGCTGGCTACCATGTCCTACCAACATGAGAAGCCTCAACCCTCCTCTGAAGCGGCACTACGATCACGCCTTCTTTCTCCCTTGGTCATACCATCAAATCCTAATGGATTAGTCTTAGAGGAAACAGAAGAATCGCAGGGGAAGACAAACTCACATCCTACTTCTCTCATGCGGGCTTATGTCCACCAAAAACTAAGCATCCTACCCTCTTTGTTCAAGAACTACAACCCAGGAGTTCAATATGTTCGTGATCTAGTAGCTCAAGATTTTGAGCCACAGGAGCGCCCAATAGTTATGAGAGTCTTTTGGGATGCATTCCATGGTCTAGACAATGATGGGAGAAGCCCGTTTCCTGATGTCTGGATGGGCTGGAGAGAACAGCGACAGGAAGCACTCTCGAGAACGATTGCTAAGCAAAACTTCAACACATCAGAAGGAGCAGCTCACATGAACCAAAAGCCCCAGGCAAAGGGACCCAATCAGAAGCCCCAATTCAACCCACTCCCCTCCGATTCCACTACGAATGAAAGGGTCAGAGAGTGTGCTGAAGGATCTATTAGAGTTCGACCGATTAGTTCAAGACAGAATATACGAGCAAAGCTTGTCAATATTCGTCCAAGAAATTCTAAAAGTCAAATAAATCTTGCTCCCTCTGCCCTCGAGACTGGAGGTTCAATTTGTACTACAGCTCCACCATTAGAAGGGCGTACTCACCGATCTGTCTTCCATCGAAGCAGTATCTCGGGCGAATTTCCAAAAAACCTACCTAGTTCAACCCCCCGCCTTCCCTGTTCTGAGCCTCTTGCTGGGCCAGTTCCGGGAAACCCCACGGACTCTGAAGAACCTAGTACGCCCAAGACGGGCACAAGTTTGGAGCTTCATCACACTCGAAGGAAGTCATTTGACTGGATTAAAATGAGTGACGGATCCACGAAGAGTTACAACTCGGCAGAGGCTCCGGTGTGTCTGAATCTAGCTTCGAACTCTAACTTCGGAGCTGAGTCTACAACAACTCATTCGCATCAATCAAATGTTTCGGACGTCGCCAGCGACCCCGGGGGCGGTACTATGAGAGATTTTGAACTTCGTGTTACAAATCTCAAGGAATCCAATCCTCGTCTTGAGTTACGCTCTCGCCATTTTGTAGATTTATTATTACCGATTAAAGAGGCCAGAAAAGGCAAAGGCAGGGTGGCAGTTGCTAAACCCGTGCAAAGCTTTGCGGCTTCTCCGACTACAAACTCCTTGACGAGTGCCTTGGAACGAGAAGAGACCGAACGAGCAAGATTACAAGGACAAGCGTCTGTTGGCAGGGTTCCTCAGACCGACATTTACCCTCCTAACATACCTCAAGAGCACTCCGGAAAATCAGATGGTATCGTCAGCCTGGGCTATTCTGAGGGTGGGCCATTTACCGGGGGGGGTGACGAGCTGCCTACAGCATCTGAGCGTACAGAAAATATGAGGAATCTCGTTCATAGTGGGCTCGACAAAGATATGGTTCCTAAGATCTCAAAATTTAGAGTCCAAGATCATCCAAGAAAGATCAGAAGGGCGAAAAAGGGTAACCCCACCCAAAATCTAAAGACAACTACCAAAATGTGAGTACAAGATAAACTCTTGTCACATTTGGCCCCCGCGACTGATTGTGAATTTAGTCGCTCCAAATTTTCTTTATCAAGTCTACCCCGTTCACTCTCCGCCACGGACAAGATCCCGCCATCCGAAGGTTCTGTTAAGGTGTCTCACCTTGGCACCACCCCCGAAGAGAATGAGGTCGAAGACATTGGTACCACTACTCCAGCAAAGCCACCAATGGAATCCGGCATCCACACGGGAAAGGCTCAAGGGCGATGGCCGAAATCTAGTTTCACAAAGGCAATCGGGGCTCACCTTGGTAGGAAGGTTAGCAGTATCCTCTGGTTTACTTTGCTAGTCGAATTTCCAACCACTAAAGATGTCATAGCCAATTCTAAAAGAGATCCCTGGGACTCTACACCAGCCGAACACTCTACCACTAAAGGTAAATAAGCACAACATTTCAGCACCATTCCCTACCGAGAATCCCCTGCAGATGTCAAGCAGTTCATCGACTCCCAATATTATCCAATTTGCGATTCCGATCAGCCACATCCCCCGCAGTAGCTCCATCCCGCTCAAAAAGCTACTGGATATTAACAATTATGGAAAACATGAAGGCAATGGCAAACCGAGCCAATTGTGCCCTTGGGAGGGCCAACACTACGACAATTCTGATAATGGGTCACCGTCCGAGCAAGCCCCCAAGGGGCCAGGCGGGGAATACGTAGCCCAGACCTTTCCAGCCCCAAATGGTAAAAGCCTCCCAGCCATTAGCATTAGTCCACTGGACCAAGCGTCACTCTACGGATGGGCCGAATGCACCGTGGTTCAAGCATGCAGTGACTTCTTGAGAGCTCAGCAATTGAATCTCGATATAGCACTTCTTGGAAAAGAGGTCAAGAAATGGGAGGATGAAAAGGTAAGACTCTCCACCGGCGAAACAAGGCGTCGCGATAAAGTCATCGAATTTATGTTTGGTATGGAGATTCAGTGCAGGCTCATCGAAGGGAACATGAAGTATGCCCCCGTTTCGAGCCCCAGTAACCCGTGCCACGCTAACATCTCGGACAGGGCACTTCACTTTTCTGGCCCAGCAGCATTAAACCCCGCAAATATCATCTCCGCCTGGAAAGCCATAATCCCAAGTTTCTCCCCTAGGACCTACTGTATCCCTGATTATTTGATTCTCGAACACTTTCGCGTGCTCGAAAAGGTCTTAGGGCTTTTCGGGCCTGTCTATTACGATGCAGAAAAATTCGAGAGTAAACGGTCAGAGCTCGTCCGACGTATTATGAAGTCAGGTGACCTTGAGAGGCATCTCTTGTCCATGAAAAGGTTGGCCACTTTACGGGAAGAACGCGAGAAAGCCGAGGAGGAGCTTCTAAGGGAAGTTGGTCTCCTTACTATCGGAGAGGAGGAGTGATAGGGCAGAGGTTTGAGTAACCCTAGGGTTTGTGTTGTGTATTATTTAGCTAGATGGGTCTCCTAGCGAGTTGTGGAAAGTGTATTTCTTAGGTTGTAGTGTTAACTTAAGCCCGAGTTGAAACCGGGTCTGTAGATAATCACCAGGGACCCTGTAGGTTGTATACATTATAAAGGAGACCGCTAGAAGGGATTCTATTTTTTTTTCTTCATTTTCTCGAGCACCCATAAGCGACTAATCGGGTAAGAGTGACAGATCGTTGTAACACTAAATCTCAAGTAACTGTTAATGATTCATGCAAAACCGTACCCGGAGTCTTCGCAAAGGTGGTCCAGTGGCCTGGATAATTTCACGCCCAAGGCTTCCCGGCCGACCATGGCACCGTGTGCCGCATTACTGGTACGTAAAATCGGGATTTGGGGGTTCGGGCTCATCAAGTGAGAGGAATAAACAATTCCTCCTAAATCCTGGTGGCTACTGTGCCCCACTCCGAGAAATTTTATCTCTAAAAATCCCCCCCGATACCACACTTAGTCCAACGGCTTTATCAGTCGTTTCCAAAAGTTACGAAACTCACCCATCAGCGCGGGGATTAAGGTGGATCAATGCGAACAGCAGACTACAACATAACGCCCCGGGTGCAGCTATCATAGGATATAATATAGGTTATAAGAAGTCTAAGGAACCTTCAATATTAGAAGTACCCATCCTGAGAAGCTCTTCACAGGGGCACACTAATTCTGTCACAATGATCCTCCCCAAAATATCCCCCGAGTTAGCCCCACCACCTCTTCTATGCTTATACATGCACACTAGCCCCAAAACTCCTCATTACTTTCTCATTCCAACAACGATCAGCAGTCCTCAATGGATCCGGTACTTAAATTTCGCTCGCCAACAGAAGCTTACCAAAAGTCAAGAGATCAAAGAGTCCAAATACTTCCCCCATCTCCTCAAAGTTCCAAGTGCCAGTCCAATCAGGTTCCGTGAGCTTCAGTTCCGGCTGCCTAGTGTAAATATTCGGGAGAAGCTGCGGTGGTGGGAGAAGATAAAAGTAGGGCATGTCCCCCCATTGGATAAAGAATTGGAGGTGCAAAGCGTTGACGGGGATTCTATTGAGATTCCCTTCAAAGAGTTAGATAGATGCCGTGAAATTGAACAAGGTATAAGGAAGGATCTGGGGGTTGCAGTTAAGGTTCATCTCACTAGAGTTCGCAGAGCGGATGAACTATTCAGAGGGCTTGAAGAGGGAGGTTATCGAAGGCATTTCTCCCTGTGGCATTCGCTTACATTTCACTACGGATAATAATAGCAAAAAGCTCGTGTCTCAGTAGAACTACCATGATACTAATAATCTCTCCAGACCTTTGAACAATTGATCCTCCGGAGGAAAGATAAGACTGGCAGACTTGGCCTTACAACCAAGTCCTCGACCCAGCCCGCCCCTCATTCTACCCACTTGCCCATAATATCCCTAAATCTCTCGAGACCAGCCCCCCTTTCCCACTCCTAGACGTTGTACAAACCCTGGCCCAGTCTAAAGAAGACAATGACGAAATCCCAAACATCTAGGTAGTCCAATCAACTTTAGTGGCTGCCATCGGACTTTCAAATGTCCGACGACGGTAAGACAGGGATTAAAGGCTCCATAAATAATTTCCACCCTGTTATACACAAAGACTCAGAGATTCTCTTTTTTTTTTCCAACAAGAGCGTAGAGCGAAAGAATACTAGTAGTAGGGATACATTACAGTAAGTTAGAGGGGGGGGTTTCCGTAACTTCTGTATTGGTCCGTGCTTACCACCCACCTCCTTTGTTCAATTCAAATTATCTACATCAGAACCAGCTATTTCTATAAAACTTTCGCTGGTGGACCCTTCAGAATTGGTCTCCGAAGCTGAATCCTCCGCCCATTAATCAGAGGCAGCTTTGACTCGGCGCGTTTGTAACACCTGTGCACAAGCGTTGTACAAGTCGTTTTCACTGTATGTGCAAACCATGGTGATGAGGATCACAGGATTGAAGAGAGCAAAGAAAATGGGTTTGAATTGAACACATGGTGCCGAAATATATCGAGGGGGTTGGGTGGCTTACATTGGTAGTATAGACTATACGGAAACCCCTCCTGGCGGAAACCCCCCCCTCTGACTTACTAGGACAAAAGGGATCGTCCGATGCCCTTTTTACACCAAAAGTGCCTATCTTCACCACCCTCTCTCATCATGCAATGTCTATGAGAACCTGTGCAAATTTGTCCATGCATTAGCAAACCTATAGATAACATGAAAAATATCACAGAATTCTTAAATATTATAAAGTGATGGAGAAAAGGTTGTTTAAGTTTCTGGCATTGGTTGCCATGTACTTTTTTATATGGATCCCCATACAAAAATTTAGGTCACTTTCATACTGGTTGATGCAATCATGAACAATGAAGACAGCTTTGATTCCTTACACTTCTACTTGTAGACTTTGGAATACATGGTCATTCCCTAGCTGATAAAATGATTTGAAGTGCTTTCATATAAGCAGTGTTGAGAATTGTCTGTTTAAAAATGTCCATTTTTGGTGTGAAAAGGGCATCGGACCATCCCTTTTGTCCCCGTACTGTACTACAATTGCGAAAATATCATCGACTCAGTCCTCAGTTTTCGAGAATTTCCGGAAGATCCCAAATACTTGGATCGAGGTCCTCATTCGTATCGAAAGATTTGTTGAACAGATATAGACACTGACTGCCCACTTGCTCGAGGCGCAGGAAAGATAGTCACCACTTTATGCAACCAGATCTAATCCAAGCGAGCGCAGTGACTCACATTTGACGGAATGATAATCCTGGTAGTAGATTGCTTGTCTGGGGGAGCGCATGAGAAGATGTGTGATCATGTATGCCTAAATACCTGGAGATGTTGATGTATGGGTGGAACCATATGTGCAAGAGTTTGGGTCAACAAGTATTGTGTGTGGGTTTACATATTCAGTTGGGGTTGAGCCCCAGCTGTGGTTTTGTCTATCATAATATATAAACAGCTCATAGGTAGCATCCTTTCATTAGAACAGAACGAACTCTCTTCTCTTCACATCATCCTCACACAACTCACCTTCGTCTCGACCTATCGTGTATCCACCTCTTCATCACTCCCATCAACATTAAACAGCGAGATACATCTGTCGCCTTCCCCAACATATATCACCATGATGTTGTTGGAACAAACAGAGATAGTGAGTTGTGGTTAGTGGAACGTACGGGAAGGATGCTAGAAAGCCAAGTTGCTTCTGGAAGTCATGAGAGTATATTTGATTGTTTAGAAGCATGGTAGATTTGTCTGAAGGTTGGAAGAGGATTCTAGAACTATATCTTTCCTTTTTTATCACAGAAGTGTAGGGAGGAACTTGGACATGTGTGGTTGCTTTGATGATGTTCTACTTATACTCTTGCCATTACCGATTAGTTAGGTATTGTGAGTTGACAAAATTAACCGAACACTAATAATTTTATCATAATGACAACCCCATTAATGAATTCAACCACCTCAACATCAGCTATAAAAAAACTAGTCAAAAAATAAACAAAAATACATCGTGGTAATCAGCACTTAGTATATCATCCATCAACCTTAATAATTGCCTTTATCCTATCTGGAGAGAAGTGGTTGTGCGAGGTTGTCCATGAGCGATGGTTGTCACACTCACTGGGGTGTTCGGTTAATTTTGTCAACGCACAATAGTTAAGGAGTGAGCTGGAACGAACCGAAGTTTACACCTTTCATAGCTAAGTTATCCTATCATAGAGAAGTCTCATCCAGCTCTACTCTTTTTACTACTGCCCCATTAGGTATCTACCTCCCCTCCAACAGATGTGAACCTTTATGGCATATTAGACAGTTATGCTCACGGGCATAGAAAATCTTTGCCCTCTTCCTCTATGAACCAAACGGTTTGTCTCTGCGCCAAAGCGTAACCCCCCAAACGAGAACATTGGTTACCGGAAAGCTCCCCAGATGAATTGAGGGAAGCCAGAGTATCTAGAGCATTCGGAGAAATTTCAGAGAGATATTCAGGTAAAATGCCGGTACGCCCATGTTAAAGCCTTAAAACCCAGCAAATGAGGGGGGGATAGTGGATGAAAGAGCCCATGTCCCGCGTCAAAGGAGAGAGGCACCATATTGAACCGATAGCCGAGGGGAGCAGGTCTGCCGGGCGATCTAGGCTTATACCCGAGCAAAATTTATATTGTGAGTGCGCGAGAATTCTTGCCAGATATTAGCAAACATGGGCAATAGTCGGGAGCACTAAGAGAGGTGCACTACTGCGTATGTGATAATATACCTTCCTGTAACAATAACTTATCGTACAATGCTGGCACTACCGGTATTCCCCGACGCACATCCTCCGTAAGCGGGAGCTCTCCACATCCTAAGGCGAAAAGATGAGTTACGCAGAACAATCTTAGATAAAAACCTCACTTCACTTAGACCGTTTTTCCCTGGTGCCGTGCCACAGGTTAAATCCCCAAACCACTGCCGAGGGGATAGATATTTCTAGTCCCGCGCATACGTGGGGGTAATGCGGATAATAAAAAAGTGCTATTGAGGGTTTTCACAGTCTAGCCCAGGTGGGAGTTATCCAGAGCTTTGCTGGAGGTTGTCACCCACATCAAAGACCCCCAAACCCCAGACAGATGCCAAGCTTCTCGAACTCGGTCCTTTCAAGAGGTTACACAGCGGACAATCCTCAAGGACCCCGAAGCCACTCTTGTCGTGCCTATGCTTAAGGAGAGCAGTGTTCCCAAGCGTCCAGTCCGCCCGTCCTTGGCTTAAGAGGGACACCGGTTTCTGGAACTCTGCCCTCGACGGACGCCCGTCTTGTGGTCCGCCCTAGTCTCTACCCAGGAGGGCCGGCCGGGCCCGATAGGTGTCTCACCTGCATAATCTATTATTCCCAATATAGTAAGTCTGTGGTCATAACGAAACCAAAGTTTTATATTTAAATAACAGTAACTTGGCACCTCCCGCTCCTGGCCGGTATTGGTGCAAATGGCCCTGCAGATGACGGCCGGGCCCTGGTGAGGACGGCCGGAAGATGCCATTTGTATTAAGACTCCCCGGACCGGCGTCAACCCCTAGAACGGCAGTCACTATCAAAGACGGACGCCATGCCCTGCCCTCCTTACCCGCCCTGCCCGGGACGCCCGGAACGGTTGGGAACACTGAAGGAGAGCAGCGGCAAAATCATATACGTATGATACCTTAATAAATGCCCAAAAGTATAGTGGAAGTATTTAGAGTCCTCATTTCAGGGTAGGATTTCATAGTTTTTACACTTCGACAAGGTGGGATCATGAAACCAGGGTACCATTTGTCACTAACTTATGCTAATGCCACCTATCATAGGTCTCTCTGGGAAAACCCCTGATTGCTCCTATCTAACGCCACCGCTAGGCACAGCCAGCACATACTAACTACAGGTCTCATACGAGGGGAGAATAACAAGGTGGGGATTCCTATTAGAGTTTATATCCACCGACCCACAAAATCCACAATCAACTCACTGGTGCCTCGGATCCCACCCAGAGATATCTACCCTTATCCCAAAAAAATTTCAGGCAGCCACTCCAAGAAGGCCGTTAATCAAAGAGAGCCGATTACAAAACCCCCTAGACCGTTTTACCCAGAGCGTTATCTGTATCGTGTTGCACTCAAGGCTCGACCTCTAGGCCTTCCTTGGACTTGTCCAATTGCAATGTAACAGGAAACATGAGGGACCGACATCTTACACCCCGCTCTTCATCCCCCCACTTCTTCACAGGCATCAAGAGATGGCGCTATACCCCCGGGAGCATTCTCACAGTGTTCCAGCCCAAATCGGTAGAGAAGAAGAGAACACAGGGCTGCTTCAAGGATAGGGGGCGTCGCCATACACAACATGGATGTTCCCTTCCAATTTCTCTCCCCGGAACCCATTCTTCAAGAAATATCACAACATTATTGCAGACACGGCTATGTGATGCACTTTGTAGTCTTTGGAGTAGATCTAGGCACGGACTAAAGGTAACCCACTCACCCAAAGAGGAAGCAGTTCCGGGTATATCAGATGAAGGTAGCCCCCAGGAAGAAACATCCATCGTACGGCCTACAACTATGCTCTGGTCGCCAGAGGGAGTTCACATTCGCAGTATCATGCCCCAGGAGCACCAAATCTTCTAAGCCTCGTTTGCTGCCTCAACAGTACCACTAATAGCCTTCGGCTCAATGCAGCGGCGAGTACGGTTGATTCGATACAATTGCGACATAATGCCCTAAAACACCTTTTGATTCGCAATGGCCAGTAGATATCATCGTATTGGCCCACGACACAGTCGCACCTTGATGCGATGGGCTCTCTTATAGTAAGCAATATGCCATTACGAACCAACCGGTTGGGAGCCCGACCTCCCTTCGCTAGTTTCCCCGCTATGAAGAAATATATATTGGAGAACACTCTATTACAAATTCGAATTGAATTCTTCAAGCTATAAACCCCCCCTTCCCCTTGCAGATGCACGACATATCGTATTAAGCTGAAATATTGAGTGGGTTGTTTTCCGAGGCCCTCCAGTCGTATGATATTCTATCATCTTGTCCTTGAACAAAATGTGCCCGCATCGGTAGGGTATGTTCCTGACTCGTTGTGGACCTCTCTGTTTAAATTTGGGCCAAAAATAATATGCCAGTGAATGACGGTAGCCCCGGAACCAATACTACCTATATTCAAGGGCTCAGGGACACTTTCAGGGGTAGTACTTCCCCCTGATCCCTTCCGTATAGCGGATGAATTAAAGTAGCTACTTGGGTAGCGGTCACGATTAAGTACTTGAAAAGCCCCTTAAAGAAACGCATCCCACGATATTTCAATGCTTATTATCCGTAACCTGCTATATTGAAATCCGGCTATATCAAAGGAGAAACCCCGAACTCCCGTCGCCTGACCGGTACAGCGAGGTGCCACGGCATGCGGAGTTATCCGTGGTGGTTTTCTCACCAAGCCCATCGACTCTGAGATAGTGATGTTTGAGCGAGTTCGCAAGTGAGCTCCCCAGAAAATTGCGCTCCCAATCCGTCGGAACCATTCTAGATTATTCCAAACCCGCTTAGATCTTCCAAAGATGTAGCCCAGTACAATACTCAACACTCGGCACTCTGGCAAGCCCTACCCGAGCGGCCCCCGCGGTTGTCTAATACCTCATAGCTATTATACCGGCACTTTGTACGGTGTGCAGGGATTACACTTTCCCACCGAATATATAGTCCTCTCAGATGGGGTGTCAGGGACTGATATCCAAGGGGGTCCCCGTCCATAGATAGCCAGCCAGTCGGCGGGAAACCCGAGCTAGTAGACTGGTAAAGCAACGAGAACAACCAAAGTTTTATACCGCTCCAAATACGGTATGCACTTTAGTATCATACCCCAGGCCAGTCGTTCCATAGACTAACGATGCTCAATCCAGGGCCTAGCAAAGGAAGAGACCCTTCTTCCTCCCTCCCAGGCTAAATGTTACTATCCACTTCCCCCAGCAGGAACACCGGGGCGCATGTGAAATTTTTTATCAGGTAATTGAAACGGAGCAACTCCTCCCCAGCTAGAATATAAGGGCATGGGATCCCCTTGGCGCGCATCCCCCCTCCACAGCCCAAGAGATAGTCCCAGCATCTAACATCCAACCCCAGTAATGAGGTTCCAATCGCTCGCAACTTTTTCCTCCTTGTTTGGTATGCAATACACCCTACCGTACCCCCCCCCCCCCCTCCACCCTCGCCCAGACAGTTTCTAACAAAAAAACCCTCCCAGTTCTCACACTCGTCTCTCAATCCCAAGGGGCCGATTTTGAATCCCCCACCTGCTCCGAACTTGCAGGAGCCCTAATTGAAGACTGCCGCGAAGCGCTTACCCATGTCGATACCACCTGGCCAAGACCCTGTGTTGGCATCTACATGAGCTTTGTAGCTGCACAGGTGCGCACATGCCTGATAACGACCTTCGATCCTAAAGCCGCGAACTGTTTACCAGGGAATAAGGTTATCGCGGCGGCTCAAATCATTATGTCGACGTGTACGCAGGGCGAAGGGAGTCAGGTTGGTGGAACTGTCGCTTTCTCAGGGACCAACGGTAGGACTAGGGTTAGAATTGGTGCAGCGCTGTAGATTGGGGGTTGGATTTGTTCTGAACTGTGCTGAGGGGAGGGGGAGGGAGCTCTGTAAATCTTGCCTAATCGGACGAAGCCTGTTTATGAACCATCTACCCTCAAATTTCCTTCGCACTTCCGAGTGATAAGAGGTGTAACCCGTGATCCAGATCATCCGAAGCTCACAGAATTGAGGGGTATTGGACCACTCTCCCCGTGCCCACTATGAGAAACCAGTTTTCTCTCTCTCTCTCTCTCTGCGACCGTATTTTACAAAGTTTGTGGGGAGCACATTGTTTGTGTTTACCACTGCCGGCCAAAAGTCCTGGTTAAGCAAAACCTCACTTTTCCAAATATTACCAGTAACTGGGGAGTGCCGCATGATTAGCGGCCTGGGGAGAGGCAACCCGCCCAAGGGGTCCAAAGAGAAGTCCCCCCTTCACCAAGATCTTTTATCGAGAGACTGTATCATACCAAATCAAGAACTAGTCCAGCGCTAGCTTCGGTCGGGTTCCCCCATAAATTAGAACCCTCAGATAACCGGCCGAATAAGCATTCCCAATCCACTATCCGGGTACCTCCCTTACTGTGCGGACTTGAACTCAAACGCTCGCTCGTGTTACACTCCTATGTAGCCCCTTCCTGCGGAGGAAGAAAAAGAGGTGAAGGAGGCGGAAGAGAAATATTCCAGCACCCGAACTTCACCGTGTGATAGATTATATCATAGCCATCCGGAATACCGGTGGCCACCTACCGGTTGATGGCTTATAAGAGATCGTCCTAAGGTATCAGTCCCATTGCCTACATTTCTATACCCACCTCCCACGCTATCATACTAGGTCCAAATACCGTACCGTAAAACCCTCATCTCCGCCGGGTCTGTACCGTAGTCTCCAGGTCCAGTGACAAAGGCTCTTGATGGGAGTAGCGTTTTCCCAGCATGGTAGCGTATATATATTATCACCTCACTGGAAATGTTGGATCTAGTCAACCTCTTTCTTTGGCTTTGTTAACGTGTCGAACTGAACCTATCATTAGCCGACACTTATATCGGCCGGCGATCTGATAGTATCCTAGATCTCAATAGTAGTAATAGCAGTGCTGCATCCCTCAGGTGGTCTGGAACAGTAAAATTCGCAACCGGGCATGCTAGTTGTTTTGGGGTATTCTAGCACAAGTATGATACTGTGATGTGATTAGTTGTCAATTAAAGGAGAAGACCAATTTCGCAACCTGGAATGCCTAGTCGCTGACCGGTCTGGGCATAGCGTGTGCATCGCCACGCATTCTACTGTTTCGGGCCGCTCAATGGGGAATCATAGTGAACGTCTACAAAATTCATCGCCTCCATTGGCAAAACGTGTCATATCAATGGTATAAGGTAGCTAGTATATGGCATGTTACTCCAGATGCCTAGTCAAGAAGCACTCCTGGCTGTCGACAGCTTGTTGAATGATATACAGTACCAGGTCAATTCGTTTCATACGATGCCCTTTTTACACCAAAAGCATGCATTTTTACCACCCCCTTAAGCACCATCAATGTGTATAAAAATCTACCAAAATCTCATGCTAGATTATCAAAACCCAGGATAACATAATAAAACTTTGCAGAACTCTCAAACCCTATAAAATCATGGAGATAACATGAGGCAAGTGCATGGTATGTGGTTGCCATGTAACTTTTTCTATGGAGCCCCATACAAAATATTAAGTCACTTTTAGACTTGGTGATACCACTGTAAGCCATCGACTCAATCTCACTACTTTCTATCCACACTCCTATGAGGATGAGGTCTGAGTGATTTCCTACCCAATATCAAAAATTTAACTGTCTTTAATAAGGAAGTGGTGGATGTTGTGGCTCTGAAAATGTTGATTTTTTTACCATATTTGGTGTAAAAACTTATACCGTACGGAACGATTTGTTCTAGTACATACTTTATATTGAAGTTACCCGTATTTGCTTATTTGAGAATAGCTAGGGGTGTAAGTTGAAGGTAGTGGAAGTTCGAACCAAGTCATGGTGCAATAGACCTCGGATTCTGGAGTATTATTTGTCTCGATAGGCCCCGTGACCTACGACAACTTGCGCCCAAGCAGAAACAGGTGCTTTCCGGAGTCCCGTCTGGGTTGTTTGGAGAAACCAGTCCCCAAGTTCACCACGGTCCAGGGGATTACCCATTCAAGAAATATCTACGCAAAAATGGGACTGTACTCTACAGTTTAAAAAACCCAAAAGGGACGCCAGGAAAAAAGGGCTAATGTGTCCTCTCTTTCCAGAACGGCCAGAATTCTCCATGTTGGTCCTGACAAAACAACGCGAGCCCTACTTGCCGCCATACCTAATCCCCCAGCAAAGCAATGATGTCCCGCCCACGTTACTTGAGTGTATCATGCTGGCATGAATCCTAACGAATGCTGTGGATCCGGAAGTGAATTGAGTTAGTAGGAAAAGTTAAATTTGATAGTAGCGGTGGCCACCAACCAGGGACCAGATATTGCACGTGTCAATATCGCTTCATCACAACTAACGCAAATCCCCGGATTCTCTCACAAGACCCAAATTTTTCGGGAAGTTTGGGTCTTCTCGAATCACCTAAACTTAACCTTCCCCAGATTCTTCTCCAATTAATCGCCTTCCCCCAGCCGGAGTTCCCAGCATTACGGGAATTGACGTTTCGCATCCAGAGCCAAATCCTGGAAGCCTGGTTAGTCTAGAGCAGTATGTGCCTCACTCGAGAGCCCCTTCGGAAAATGGTCATTACATCCAGAAAAACCCCGCAATAGGTTATCCCGACAACTCTCCCCATCACTGACCACTTACGATACCACCAGCAAAAGCCCAAATCAAACCAACACCCCAGTACGATTAACCTTTTAAGCCGCGCAGAGCCTCAAACCCCGTGCACGTGGCCGTAACTCACCACATCCCCGGATCCCCATCCGCACAACACAGGAAATCAACATCTCCGACATCTCCATTCTTTCCCCCTCTTTTCCCGCGCCCCCACGGAAACGGCGCCAGAGAAGCGAGAATCAAAAGCAAAGAAGAAAAAAAAAATGCTCCCGACGGGTTTATCAGCTAAGCGCCTTCTCCGCCACACCTCCCCCCCATCCCTCCATACATACCGGTACACGCATCCGCACCGCAGAAGTGGGACCACCGCATATGATGAGTGCCGTACTGTACAGCACGAATACAGTATTGTACATACCCGACCCGAGGTCCGTGACCTCGCCCTTCTTTCAATCTGCAATCCGAAAGAAAGCAGAGGGGTGGGATGGGATGGGATGAACAGGACGGGAATGCGGGATATGCGGACCCGTCATCCCGGAAAGTTAGTGATTCGACTTTTCTGTGGGGGGAGGCGGATCAGGGCACCTTACACGGGAAAGCTCGTTTCGGAAGAGTGGATATCTACTTGTAAGAGGGAAAGGGAAGAATGGATGGCCCAGGATACAGCTCTGCACAATAAAGCTAGTCTGCGCCGATTCCTTAATATTTGCTTCTTTGTACAAGTTACTCGCTCAAAGATCTCTACTCTTCCTAGAGCTGTACTCGTGCCAGATACGATGGTGTAAGCCACTTGCACCGCGCCGCGTGGCCAATCTCATCACACGATATAGAGGCAAGGACCCCTCTCCCCCATTTCCTCTCGACAATGGAGGTTAAGGATCCCCATATTGGCCAGTCCCAGATCCTCTCTCATCGTGTTCCGTCCGGCTTCGTGGCAATTTTTACCGATGGTATTTGCTTATTCGGCGCCAGCTCCACCGGGCGGGTTATCCGATTAGGATGTGATTAGTACCGTACCCGGTTCGAAGATGGTGAACCCAGTCGCTTTACTGAAGGATAGGTGGATTAACGCTGCACAACCATTGCACATGTCTCAGGGGAGTACTCGAGTACACTAGGGACAGTACCGGTACTCGAGCACAGGGAGAGGAAAATTATAATCTATATAATCCATACCGGTACTGTAAAATCTACGATAATCTACATTTTCCATATAAAACCAAGGCTAGGGTCTCGCTCTCATGCCTAGAGTACATACGTATACTCGAGTAGTACAAGTACAAGTACAAGTAGCGTAGCAGAAGCGAAATCGATCGTGGGGTATAAGTAAGTACTCACCGTCTCATGAACCCAATATCCCCTTCCCCCACATCCCACCCCTTCTCCACCCCCGACATATGCGCACATGCACGACTCACTGAGAGGCCAGGATTGCAAGAACACGCGGATTCATGCAATGTCACTCGTGGGGTTAACCCACTTTCCTATTTGCCTATCCCAGGTTTCCCTTCTCCCTATCCACGGCGCGATATGTTCAAGAATCACAGCCAAGTTACCCACTTCCTCCAGAGAAGGGAAAAAAGAGTTGCAATTCACGGGCTATAGATGGCTTACTGTACCAGTACAGTACAGCACATACATACCGCACCGTTTCACCAAGGCGGCGTTGCAGAAGCAAAAAATCCAATCCAATCCACACAATCAATCGCGCTCGAGTCCACCAAGCCCCCCCCCAAAAAAAGCCCAGTCAGTATTCGTGAGCGAGCCAAGAAAAGCCCCCCCCCGGCCTTCCCCCCACATCGTTTCTCCAAGACGCCTCGACCCCATCCACACCGTGCACACACCCCAACAAGAAAGAAAGACAGAAAAATATGATGGAGAAAACCCCAAAGGTGGGTACGCTACGTACCGCCAGAGAGAAAAAAAAGGCGCAGTAGCGTAGTTCGGCACAATACATTGGACGAAAGTCGTATATGACACGGCATCCCTACGCCCCTTGAATTCAATCGCGGAGCTGGTCCGTACTCGAGTACGGTAGAAGGGAGCTAGGTAAGCCATCATACCGGTAACTACGGTACCGCGTCTTACCACCCACCCCCGAAGGTCCGAATAGGCCGACGTGCATACATAATATCACACATACCGGTATATATCTCGAGTACAGTACTGCACGATGCCCATACCGGCTATTTCGGCGGCCGAGATAATTAAATAAGGAGGATCCCCACCACCACCACCACTACTACTACTAACTACTACTAGCTAACCTCAGTCTATCTAGCTCACCGCATCCTTACCCTCCGGATAATTCTTTTAAAAAAAATTCCCATGTGATTGTATTACTCCTAATGTGCTGGCATGTCATGTCATGTCATGTCTTGTCACCGGGCTGGACGAAACGGACGGACGAAAACTCCGAACCTGGTATTACAATCTACGGTAACCGTGCAAATGGGATATAATATGATATATGTACAAGTTTTTGTAACAAAAAAATTTTATATAAAAAAAGGAAAGCCTTCGCGACTTGAGGTTTATTAAGGATGTTATTTTCGATTGGGATGGCGGGGGGGAGGTGAGGACTCATTTCAAGGTGCACTTTTTTCCTACTCGAATATATATATCTCAGTGTATTAATATAGTACGGTATTGTACTGTAACTGCACCGTACTCGTACGGTACACCCGCACAAGCTGCTACGGGTAGAATAGTTAGACTACTCGTACCGTAGAGCGCGAATTCAATCGGCACGCTCCGAGAAGTGACTACTGTGCGAGTGGTGAGGTCGTGCATGGGTTAATATCTGTCTATCTATCTACAATACAGTACTGTACCGTACCGTACAGTGCAGCACAGCGCAAAGCAACCCAACCGGTCGGAAAAGAAAAAAAAAAGGAAGCAAGCAAGCAAAGCAAAGCAAAAAGCAATCGCGACAACCCGGATTCATTCCTGAATTTCTGTATTTTCATTCGCGGGAGCTAGTCCCCGCTTCGGTCATTATTTTAATTACATCCACCAATACATCTACTCTGCCCTATCTAACTTATCAATCGATCAACTGATCAAGGACGCGCAGCTGCTCTAGCGGTCCCTCGCTCACTTCCTCCCCGATAAATAGGTAAGAACCCATGACATGACGGTTGCCGAGCGTCATACTGTCGATCACTGAATAAGCAAGTATGCAGGAAGGCAGGTGGATAGGTACTGTACACTCGAGTACACTCGAGTAATAGGTCGGTAGACATAGGAAGGTAGATTATCGTCCATACTCGTGCCAGAAGAACCACAAACAAGCGGAACAATGAGGGGGGGAAAGCTGGCTTACCAGCAGCACACCTGAAATGCAGATACCCAGTACTTGGGTACAGTACCATACTTCTGGTCTTTCCGGTAGTCTAATGGCAAGTACCAAAGCTTTTGCCCGAGAAAATCCCCGTAATATAATAGAACACGCAACCCACGGTATTTCTGGGACTTATAAATATTATCATATAGCACTGTGCGAGTAATGGGAGGGGAGATGTATGGATCGGGCAAACCATCATTACTGTATTAGACTGCTCCGCTCAAATATCGGTACCTTTTCGCGCTTTCCTAGTGCTAGATCCATGGAAATCCCGGGTATACTACTATTATCATCGGATCGGCTCCATTTTGCAATGGTCTGCGCGGTCTATTGTTCCCGGTACTAGTAGACTATAATGTCTTAAGATCAAAGTCCTATATGGACGTTGAGGACGAGGTACGATACATACGCAAATCTAATTAGTGGTAAAGACGGGCAGATATCTCCCTCCTCCTCTCCCTCCCTTCCTTCCCTCTTCCTTCACGGGGACTCGACTGTTATAGTGAGGGGTCCCCCTCCACCCAGCTTAGTTCATGAGCAAATTAAAATTGTAGACATGACGGTGAATACCCGGTGAATTGTCGACCCGTTAGGTGGGGGGTTGCAATTTCGGGGATGAGACGGGATGGTGATTTTCCTTAACCTGATGATTGCTGCGGATACCGTACGTACTGTATAACAGTACAGGTGCCGAGGTAGTGAACGCGATAAAGCCCAATTCCAGCCGAACTGGGTTTTGAGCAACGCTTCACCAGATCCCGGCAGCGGCGACACTGAGGGGAGGTCCGGTACATCTGTGCCCCGCCCGTGCAATGACGAAGTATATCTCAGACGTGTGTCCCGTACAGGCGCTCTACAGTTGAAGGCATCGGAGATCCTGGACTGACACCAGAGAGTTAGATAAAGCTCTGAAGCGCCATAGCTGCCGCATTCGGTCTTACCACACTCCAGCAACGCATGGACAGAACGCGCCCCATCTGCCAGACACTAGGGGATATCAAAGTTTGCCGAGGCACGACCGGCATCAGTGCCCTACCGTCTCCACTGCCTTGTCCAAGATCAAAGCAATATGCGCACAAGTACTTCCTACAGCGCCACAGCAAGGCAGGACCAAGTCGAGCTCCCATAATTAAAATATACGTAGGTAGGAAGGGCCATTGTAGTGAGGCCCCTTGTAAAAATAACCGGTAGAAGATAATGATGCACAGAAGGAAAATAAAAACAATTACAGAATGAATTGGGCGCAAATAATAAATAAGATTTCCGGCCTCCTATCTTACCCTACAGAAACAGAATAGAGTAGGCAATTCCGAATCATGGCCATCCCCGTACAAGCCAGCGGAAAAAGAAATAGATAGAACACCCAGGTCAAGTAAAAACAGTGTATCAGGATGAGAAGGGAAGTAGACAGATGACACGAAAGGAAGTTTAGGAAATGCAGAAAATTGGCATGATCAAAGAGCTAGCAAAGAAAGAAAAAAATTATACAAAAAGCTAACAACAAAAGGAAAACAAATCAATAACTTTTTGTATAAGAAAAACCCCGGTTTGTCATGATCTCTTCAGTACTTTGCCATTTTCCGTATTTGTCGTTAGAAACCGGCCCCCATTTAAAAAGCTAACGAATAAGGCGCCCAGAAACGATGACCCATAGAAACAGAACACCAAGCAAAGAAAACAGAAAAGAGATCTGGCGGTGGGGTGCATGACACGAGAACCAAATGATATCTCTCCCGCCTTCCTCCAGGAAACCCCTTCCTTTGAGAAGTTTTTGTCCTAAAGCCGCGAGCTATGATCATTGCCACCAAGAACCCCACCCAGAGAGAAAGGGAAAAAAACCCGGATCGAAATAAGGAAACGCTACCACCCATACAAAGAAATTGGTACAGAATTAAGGAAATGAACTGCCCCCCCCCCCCCCCAAGAAAAAAAAATGATGAATGAAAAAGGAAAAAAACCATAAACATCATGGCCGAAGTGGAAAGGAAAAGGTAAGACACCGGATAATTGAAATCCAACAAATACCATGACTGCTCACGCTAAGGCAGCCCCACTTTCGCCAGTGCCAGCAACAGCTACGACACCGCCTGGCGGTGGAACCGCAGCGGGATGAGCAGAATGTGCTCGATGATACTTGAGACCGTTGAGATTCTTGTACCGTTTACCGCAAAGTTCGCATTGATAAGGTTTCTCTTTCTCCATGCCTAATGTGCCGGGGTACGGCGCCGACGTTTCGGGATTGACGATAGAAAATGTTCCATCTGGGTTGGCAAAAAGTTGTTGGTTGGTGTGCCCGTGCTGACAGACCGTCATGATTTGGCATTTATAGACTCTAAAGGGGGATATACATACAGATTTATGATATTTGAGGCCATTCTGGTTTTTATATGCCTTTTCGCAACCAACAACAGGGCATTTGAAGGGTTTGTCTTCGTGTTGAACGCTTTGCACACCTTGGGTTCCGGAGCGAACACCTTGAGCTATCCAAACATTAGCCATGTAACATGCAGAACATCCACAATCCAATACTTACCGCCTCCAGAGATTAGCATATGCAACTGCTGCTGTGTGTACCCCCCACTCATTGCTTGCCCTCCAGGACTGAAGAGGCGTTTGGCAGGCTCGTCGATACACAAATCGAGTGACATGTCACCCCTATTTTCGAATGAGGTGTTGCTATTATTGAAACCGTTATTTTGAGTGCCTACGACGCCTTGCATGTTGCTCATGTTAGGAGGAAACGAGTATTCTAACTGGTCCATAGCAAGCGGAGTACCCGGGCCAGAAGACTCGGGAGAAAAATGTGAAGGTTGCTGGTTAATGTTGAGACTAGAGAGTTGAGCATGTGGCAGATTTGGAGTGTTCTGATATGAGGGATGGCTATGTGTAGAGGGTGTGGGTGGATGCGAGGGGTATTGATTATGGCTCTGCGGGGTAAGTGGGCCCGCGTTAGGCGGGGGGGTCATTTCCTCATCGTCCATTTCCATGTCACCGGCAATCTCTCCGTCTTGTTCCTCCTCCTCTCTCATCTCTTGACTGCTCGCTTCTGCTGACTGTTGCTGTTGCTGCTGTTGCTTCAGTCGCTGAAGTTGCTGCTGCTGCATCATCCCTAGCTGTATGCCACCCATACCACTAATAGGGCTTGTCATACCACTGGCGTCTCGTCTCTGGGGACGGTGGATCTGCCCGTGTTGCCGCTCGAGATCATGACCAGAAACACCGTTCTCGTCCCGACGTACAGGTCCGGTTTGCTGTGCGTGAAACTCCTCATAATGCCTTAGAAGATCATGTAAGGAAGGAAGTGGCAAACCGCAGCAAGAAAAATCTCGGCAAAACTCGGCCTCGAGCTTTGGAAGATATGAGGAGGAGTGAAAGGAAGGAGAATTGAATGTGAATGGTGAAGTGCCTGCCATGATGATGCTACAGAAAGGTGTTAAAAATTGTTACGGTACTTTGGAACAGGTAAGGAGTGCGGAGGGACAGAGGGGGATAATAAGGGTTTATAAGCACCACTAATGGGCAATGAGATGACAAGAAGGATAAATCCATAATGCCCAGTAAGCATAGATAAATTCCCAAGCATCACATAGGCGTCTGCATCAAACTCTGTTCCAGGGAAATAACTTACTCGTCCCTTATCCAACTTCCAACACTTACAGCACCCCAGCTCATGGCACCGGCGCCCATCAAACTTCTAGCCATCTCACTGTTCACCATACTCTCTCGCCTCAGTCTATTCGACATCGGGACGCCATTACTATGTGACACGCTGCCAGCCCGAGCCTCCGGAGCGGCATAACCTGTGCCCTCGGCCGCTCGCAGCTGACTAGTAAGATTCGATTTGGGTTGGTGGGGTTGTGGCCGAGAAGTGATATCGATTGGAGCGGGCATCTTGTTGAATGCAGGCTCGGGTGTGGATCTGTGGGTCGGTGGTGGTGTTGGGTTCTCGTTGTGAGACACAGGTGCACGGAGGGGAGTGGTGGAATGGGAGCTCTCGCTCGAGCAGGTAGGGCTCAAAGAAGGTGTTCCGAGGAGATCCGTGGTGGGCGGCGGAACGGAAAATGTCTGCTCTAAAGCGGTGTTTGTTCGAGGGAAGTGGCCTGTCAGTCTAGACTATGGGTAAGCACGACGGAGGCCAGAGTGTGTGGTTGTAATTGGGAGCCGAGGAGTTGAGGAGATGTGTTTGTTGCAACCAGGTGGAACGCTTAAGAGGAGACGTTTTGGGGGGGGGGGGGTGGAGAGGAGACGACCTCTTGGGGAAGGGTGGCGGGTTTAGGTTAGTAAGACAGCAGTGGAAGCCTGGTTGGTGTTGGGTACCAGCGGAGCGGTCAAGGATAATGATCGGGGATGACCAGGACTAAATAAGCAGTGCTGGTGGGATGGAGGGTTTCGGTGGATGGATGAGCAGCCGAAGCCAACGTCGAGCGGCGAGCTGAGAGGGGCGGGCAGTCTGTCGTAGTCGCCCGCTAAGCAGTGGGCGAGAGAGAGTCGAGTATCGTTGCACAAATGTGCGGGTCCTACAGAAGCGACAAAAATAGTGGTAATGGATGATGGCGCGATGGTGTAGATGGTGATGATGATGATGACAGTGATGGTGATGATGGTGACGATGATGATGGCAAGCGAGGTGGAGACAGAAGATGAAGTACTACCGTAGGAGAGCACCGGCCGGCGACAACCAGGGAGTATTGTACCGTAGGAGGAGTAGGCAAGTTGGTTAGTCGAGGTAGGGTTATGAGGGGATCCCTTCCCGCGAGTCGATGAGTTACACCAATGTTCGAGATAGTATCTACTCGAGTAGTTGACTGGGTGATAAAGTGAATTACCCCGAGGGGAATACATAACGTATCGTGGAGAGCAACTCTGGGCGCCATGTGCATAAGCGCGGTTTGCCAGTCAGCTGGGGCACCGTTATTTGGTAAGAGGAGAGGAGCTGGAAAAGAATTGCGTTTGTGATAAGTTACCTCTACGCTCCTATGTATGAGTATCTTTGACCGAATACTCAAGATACAGTGCATTGGACCCTGCCCAGCTGTTAATCTACAGTACTGTACGAGTACATCCCGCTATCCAAAGAGATTCGAAGCGCGAGGCTAGAAACTGGAGCCTTGCGCCCATTAAACATTGAAGGTCGTGGTCCCGCCGTACCGCACCGCACGGCACCCTTCCCCGTGGGGATGCGATGAGAGCTCAAACTCGGTCGGGACGCTTTTAACTGCAGCTGCCGGTTTCGACATTCAGGATTTCCAACTAACCCACACCCTCTAAGTTACTTGACAAACACCAAGCGGGTACCATAATCCCATTTCGAGAAGGCGGGCAATACCGGTAATCAACTGTCTCCTAGTCTAAATAGGTCAAACCCCTTCCTGGGATACCGCAGACAGATGGTACCGGTATCGATATCCTTGTTCATCCACCCCCCTAGCTCCGCCCTCATGGGGTATTTCGGTATTTGTGGACCCCCATTGGATGGGACGGCCTTGGTTCGACCACAGCGTATCGCCCTGTTTTTGCGACAACTCCTTTTAACAGCGAGAAGGTAAATACTTCAACCTAGGACTCGCCCACAACTCATTTCTCTCTTGTCGAGCCAACCTGCGTCACAGTATTATTCTACGCAGCACAAATCTTCCCAGACCAAGAGCGAAAGGAAAAGAAATAAAGAAAAAACGGGAGAGCAAAAGAGAGAGAAAGAGATCTCCCCAACATATTGGGGAATGCCAAATGGCAATCCAGTGGAATAGAGATTACAGAAATCTGATTCCCTCAACCCGGCTTCTATCCTCTCAACGCCTACCGTCCTTCTCTCCACCGGGTTCTGGGAAACCGATCCTAACATATCGGCTTATCACACTATTATCTATCGCCCGAAGAGTTAATCGCCCCTATGGAATTCCTCCCGTGGACAGCCTTCCTTTCCCGCATGCTCTGTCCTACAAGCCCTGTTCCGACCAATGTTCCATCTCTACTAGCGCGGCCGAGGTGGAGTTGGGCAATTTACATGGGAATGGCCAGCTTAGGCGTCCAACTTCAACCCCGCCGCAAGAGTAAAGGCTCCGGGGTGACAAAATTACATATGGTGCCCCCGCCTATTGCTCTCCTGGTATTAGGGCCCCACAGCGCCATTCCCAAACCAGCTACTTACATTCATTGAACCTCAGGTTGGCTGGCCTGTAACGGAGGTAAGATGCAGTCACGGATTCAGGATTCAGAGCGGTGCACGATTGGATAGCATCTGTCGAAACTGATGCACTTAGTGCTCTGGCCTGTCGGCACCAGGACGAACTAATGATAATACAAATAGAGGCAGTCCGAGTGCAGTATCCTAGCGACCAACAGCATGCAGGGTGCCGTTGGTTTCTTGGGAATTCACCATGGTAAATTACCCTAACCCTGGTGTGTTTTTTGGCTCTTCGGGGGCCACTTGGGGGAAGCACATCCGGCTTATTATCATACTTTTGGGATTCGAATGCCGTGGATCACTCCAAAGAACATTTCGCTCACACACCATTAAATCTATACTATTAAATTTATACTATAGCGAGTTCCACTAGGGGCCGTGGGAAACAAAGAGTGAAACCGCGAAATCTGGCCTCATTCGCCTAGAACCGCTGCGATCGGAAATGACCTTAGGGGGAAGTTTCTCCATTCTGCAGGGAAGGAAGAGACCACTGACACGAAATTGTACCTGGCCCCTCTGCCGATACTCGGACTTTAACCGGTGCTGTCTATAGCTACGATGTGCGTGCATGCGTTGCAAGTGTCACAGTACGACCACCACCAAAAAGCTGGTCAGGGTCCGCCTCACCGATCGCGAGTCGTGCCTGGAAAGAGCAAACCAAGGTGGCCGGCTTCTTACTTCTTGCTATCTCAGCATCACAGCTTCACCAGATAGCAAACACATAAGGTGCGTACTGCTACCAATAAAGTTGTTGGGTTGAACTTTAGGCACCGTAACCCGCCAGATGCCTTGCAGAATGGGAGAGGAGCACCGGTATGGAATGTAAGTTAGCGCTCCTCCACACCAACGGAGCCGAGGCCCTTCTCAAGACCTGAATCCCAAGTCCAGTTGAAGTACTTTGGCCATTTGCGGTATTGAATTCCCCAGCAGCTCGGCTAACCTAGCCCTTGCGTCAAACTTCGTAGCCACCGCTGCAGCCATAGTACCCGTAGATGCATCGCTTAAGTTACTAATTCCCATTACCGGAATGAGGTCCAATCAATCTTCGCGATCAAACATCGTTGCTTGTTGAAACTACGATATCACTTTTGCGTCGTTGGTGGCGGTATTAGGGAGGTGGTTAAGAGGCAGGGCGGACGTAAGTTAGCTCGAGCCGTAGACTACCTACCGCCAGAGCATCGACACTGATATTTCCAAATGTGCGCTAGTGCTCTATGGCTCAACATTGCACGGTCTAAAGCAGCTCCTATGTACTCGAGTAACATGCCTTTGTTTACATCTTTGTCGGAAAAACACCAAACTATGTACAGTGCCGCGCGCAGCAAAGCTTTGGTGTCCTGACTCCGTTGCAACGCACGCAACCCGTCACGAAATAGGCACAACTCGGAATTGCCACCCTCGCAGCAAAACCTCCTTACTGTAGAGAGGTTCCTGGTTCTTTCTTGAGGAAACGTGAGCCAGAATCCACAGGACCGTCGGTCAGGATGTCATGATCCGGCACTAAGATACCCCGTCCATTAGGAGGGCGGATCAGTACCAGCTGAGCCCAACCATGGGGCATAATCCATTGATTAAACAGCAGTTGACGCCTCCCTAAGCCATCCCGTACGGCGATACTCGCGGCACGAGGCCGCTCGATCTTTTGAATAACAGCACCCCACTCGTCAAGGTTCGGTCGACGACTGGGGATCCTTCTTGCTCGCCGATGGCCTCGACACAGTGAGCTAAGGCCTGCTGTGCACCGGCGATTCGCCGATTCGTCGCTCTATCACAGCCACCCGCCTGGGCCTTGTCTCGAAGGCATTGCTTTACCTTGCCTCCCAATATGCCCCTCCCCCCACCCCCCCAACTGGCAGCCGCTGCTATCTCCAGAGACCGTCTTGTCCGCTCTGTACTCGAGTAATGCTGAAATCCCTTCCCCCTTAACGAATCAGCGGTTCCCCACAGCATCTACCCAGGCGGGAGCCAAACATCCATGCAGCCACCAGCCCTTCCCCCTCCAGCCAACGGGCTTCACCTGATGCGGAAAGACGAGGAAACTAGCCAAATACTACTGTACTCGAGTACAGTGCACCCGGGGGCTCAACGGTAAGGTGGGCCATTCCACCCCCCGAAGCGTGTATCGCAGTGAAGTATGCAATGCTCTCATTGGTTGAACTCCTCCGCCTCCCTAATTGGTTTTCCCTGGAACCTATCCAGTTACACCATGTCATTTACTCGAGCACCTCTCCGTGAGCACAGAACAACCGTGCGGAAGCTCTCCAACGAACAAGAGAACCAGTATATCTTGCGAGTCTAGTTCGGTCCTGGGGCGCCCAGTCGAAGTCATGTGAATTCCCAGGACCGCAGTAGTATGGAACTCCTGGCTTTTGTTTACCCTGCAGGCCCAACCATGACGGGTCATTTCACCATCTACGTAGCATTGCGAAAGCAGTTGTCACAGTACAGGTTTGGTGGTGTGTTTTGGCCATAGACTGGTGGTACTACAGAGGAACAATAACGGTGGGTTGTAATCATTACGAATGGGTAACGTAAATCAGATGAGCTTTTTTATCTGAAGATCATTTGGAATATTTGCCGCCCCAGATACATGTCGTATTCCCATCCCTCCGGAGAAGTAAAGAGATACGAGTACCGTGATGCTGTTGCGGTAATACCTGTACTCCGCACTGGATGTCTCATTACTACTTCTTTCCTTGGGGGAATGGGGGGAAGCGGAAATGGACCAAGGCTGGGAAGAACGTTAGGGAAATTATGTGCATTGGCACAACTGTGGGTTATTGGTATTTCACTACGTTCAACATCCCTCTTGCTCTTGTGTTTGATCTCCACACCACATCCAGGCGGGGTAGCTCCGACGACGGGTTCTCTACGAGTCTGTTCGATGCCCCCCCCCCCCGCTCGTAAGCACATAACGCTTTGATCTTAAAGCTAATCGATATCCAAGTTTGTGAACCCGGAATTGAGTGGTGGGGCTCAGGGAGAGCTCCTGTTTGGTGACGAAGGAAGCGGCGGATGATACG